CCGAACAGTCATTTGCTCTGGCAGCGCCTCCCGAGTATGTGCCTGAGAGAAACAGCAAAGAGCACATTTTATAAATGAAGAATAACTAATGTATTCCAGCTAATCTGTGCTGAGATGTAGCATCTACTACAAGCAAGAAACTTTTGTCAAAGGATTGGTTTTCCAAGAGAAAAAATAAAAAATCTTAATTTTTATAGTGATTATTTACTGATTCAGGTTGATACTGATACTGGACTTCAGAAAAACAACACTGTAAAGTCTTAACAGGATATTAGCAAAGTGTTTCTACATGATAACTTCTGTTGCAAAGGTTTACAGCTTTGCCAGTCAAATATTCAAAATCGTGTTCTAAGTCTGCTTTTGACAGTGGAGCTCACAGATATTTAAAAACAAAGAGAAAGTAAAGTGTTTGCCATATCTCAGTTTTGGCCTCAAGACAATGTGTTTAACTCTATGTGCATGTGTAGAAACAATCCTGAGGAATTTCCCTCTGCATATCAACTAATTGAGACATGGAACAAAGTTGGGATCACTTGATTTTTGTAAGGCATCCCTGATGTCAAGACAGGTGAGATCAGGAGTTATCCATCTGAATGGCATGCCTGGCCCTTTGAACTGAAATCTAACTGATATACATCATCACACATCACAGCTCTGTGGGGAAGATCTGACTCTGGATTCAACTTTCACAGTGTTCAAGATAATTACATGGTTTAAAAATAAATCATCTCAAATACATGCACACACTAGGACATGATTACAGAGTGTCCTCACTGTGCACAGCATGTTGAGGACCTGCCTTGACTGTTCTGTACAGGGGTGTAGCCCAGTGGGGACTATGCTGAGATCAACGGAGCTGCACCTGCCAAAAACACTATTCCAGCTCCATTTACTGATGTGCTGGCTCAATACCACTCCTCTGGAAGCCACCTGGGCTGTTCCTATTTGATGCTAATGGCTGTTGCTGGGCATATAGAGATCCAATATCCCGAGCTCTACCCTACTTTCATTGACGTCAGTGGTAGAATTCCCATTGATTTCAGCAGGAGCAGAAATAGCAGCCACAGTCCTCCACATCAGAGTGCTCCATATTGAGGGAGGGATGGTCACAGGGGGTACAGCTGTCTTTGAGAGGCTTTCTGAAAATGCTAAATGAGCCTGAAGTGGGAGAAGCAGCAGGGAACACAACTAAAACCTTATACTCAAGGGCTTTTTACTTCACACTGCTGAATCACCTACCTACTCCCTACCTTATCCTGCCCACCACTCGTTTTGCTTTTAGCTCTTCCAAAGAGTAGACCTGGGGTGCAAAGAAAGGAGATGTGTAAAAAAAGGAACCTTTATTAAACACCTAACTGACTCACACTTCTGACAGTTCAGAATCCTTGTCTTATATGGCTTCAAGAAAGGATCTAGAGATTCCTGCTCTGCCTGCTTCCTGAGCTGTGCAGTGCAGCCTGCTCTGGCCCAGAAGCCACGTAGTTTCCTTCTAGCAAAGCATGATCCCAAGCAGAGTCCATGAGGTAATGCCTAGCACCAGATTGTTGCTAGAACAAACCTGCCACATCTCAGTCTAGCCCAGACATGAGCAGAGTCACCTATGAGGCAGGAATGCCACAGAAATTGTCCCTGCACCAAGGAACTGGGCACCTACAGGCAGCCTTCCAAAATTTTAATGCAAGTTGGCAAACAAAAAAGCAGGAAGGAAAAAGACAAATGTTCATCAAACATCACGCTGATCTAGAGGTAAAGCTAGAAACAACTTCTTCCAGGTCTCAAACCGGTAAGAGACATCAAGGAGAGGTTCTTGGATAAAGCAGTGCTGAAAAGCCTGGCAGCAGCAACACTGTTTCCAAACTAGTAGCAGCTCATGAACAGCCAGGCTGCAGAAAGCTAAAGCTGGTCTGTATGCAGAGGAACTACTAAATACCTTAAAATAACCTGCTGCTTTCAATGAGTTTTAATTTGATCCCATTAGCTGTGCAACATATAAAAAAATGCACTTTACCACTACATTCATTTGGCCACTTAGCTCCTGCCTAACTGAAGCTATCAACCGTTTCAACAAATCATTTTTCTCTTTTCTTGATTAGAAAATTAATTCAAAGTTAATCAGAAGCATATTGCATGTTAATTAGCTAAAACAGGGAACCACAGCTTAATCAAGCAAAATTGAATTCTCTCCTTTTAGTGCAAGTGAAGAGATTAGAGGTGGTGATGCATTGAGGGAGACAGATATAACCAAATACAAACTGACTTTGTGATAGCTTCTCAAGAAAATCTGTAAATAATCCCACACTGTAGATTCCAGGGGGGAATTTATTCTTCCCATTTTTCAGGTTGCTGTAAAAACATTTCCATACATCCCAATTTACTTCAGAATCAGGAAAGCTGCAAATGGACCCAACAGTGCAATTTAAGAGATAAATAAAGGCCTGAAATTCACTACTCATGTTAAACTGTAAGAGAAAGTTAAAATCCATCCCGCCCAAAACATTAAGTATTCAATTGAGATGAGCAATCCTTTAAAAGTAACTACTGCCACATCTTTAATTTCTTTCTGGAATTCTGATCGATTCACTACATCTCAGATATATCATGAATAATAGATTGTCTTGCCTGTAGTGCTGCCAGAGTCATAGTTTTCTTTGTAGCTTTGGCATTTTTTCCTCCAGCTGAGCCACTTGATCCCGATAAGGTATCAAATACTCCATCAATGTCAGTCTGCTCCTCAGGAAGAAATCTGGAAAGGTGATTGTGATAGGCATTGCTTTCTGCATTTCCCATCTTTTCAACCTGAAACAAAGGAAAAAGAATTTAAAAAAAAAAAAAAAACATTAAACACAGAAAGGTATCACAAGGGCCATGGAAGACATATCAAACTGACTAACATACCAGTGCAAGTTTAACAAGAAAAGCAAATTACTAGCCTTCCAGGAAATTACTAAAACTAGTGTTTAGTCTCTGCATTCACTGAGACAATGAATTTGGAGAACATCTGTAACTGTGCTTTAAAAATTGACAATCTGACAGCTCTTTGCTAAAACCCCCCTGTCCACCAATGCAAACATCATTCAAGTCTCTATCAAATGGAAAAACCAATATGATCTAATGGTTAAATTAGCTTATACAAAGTGACCATGAGTCTAACAGCTGCAATACAGCCCTAACATGAAGGAAAAAGCCTGATTATGGATTATTTATGACAGATTATGCTACATCATTCTGATGCATTAATGGACTGAAGCTATGTCTGCCAATATGATGCGGCACTAAAACACCATCAGGGAAAAGCCTCTGAAAATGACGAGAATGTTTTTTTCTAAGGACACAGTACAAAAATATTTTGAAGCAAAGTAACAAAAACATTTAGGAACAACGCAAGACCTATTAAAAACACACAGATTCATGTGAAGTCAATAAATCAGTGAGAGTTGGTACCCACAGAATTAAGGTTGGCGGGGGGAGGGTTGGTTTGGGGTTTCCTTGTTTGCTTGTTTTACACATTTAATGGTACAACTCTGATTTCTCTCACTGTCCCAGGATTCACCTGCACTATGGAGATTTAATTTTTAGTGTTGTCTGGGCCATGTGCTCTGGCTTTCTCCCTGGAGCAGCACAGCACAGACCTAACAGTGCCACAGCAGGGCCTGAAATCCCAAATTCCACCATGACCACAGTGATGGTCACCACTACCAATGCCCTTCCCATCTGTCTGGGGTAGACACATGTCTGGGGTGACAATATAAAGAAGGTAAGATGTGGAATAAAACATCCTTTTCTAGTTTTCTTTCTGTAATTTCCATGTCCTTCCCGACCCCTCTTTTTCGGTTTGTGATTCCCAGTTCCACGGGAATCTCTTTTTGCAGACAAGGCCATCACGCAGCCCTTCAGCCTCCCCAGAAGGACACAGTGTTGAGCCTAACGCAGTATTTTTATTGCTAACTGCTGCGTTGTTTACCGCACACAAGAGGCCGGGTTGGGCAGCCTCACCTTCAGGCCTAGAGCCCTGTTTGCCTGCGAGGAAAATTTCGATCGTGGGGTAAACCCCGAAGATGAATGGAAACCACCGTGACCGTGACGACATGATTAATTTAAAGCAGCGAAACGCTGGAGAAAGAGGGTCCTTGAAAGGTTCGTTTCCCGGTGTGCTCAGCCCATCCCTCCCCGCCCGGCTGGGCAGCCCTGCTATGTGTATGTGTGTGTGTGTATCTGTGTGTCCGACCCCATCCCGGTGACAAGGCAGCTCTGAGGCGAGACCCCCACCCTGAGACCTCCCCGCTTACCGGCAGGGCTCCCCCGGCCCCTCTCCGCCCCCGGGACCGTCACACAGGGCCCGGCGCCATCCGGCGCCTCAGCCCGCCCGGCCGGGGCGGAGCGCGGCCCATGGAGCCGCCCCTCAGGCGGGGGGGAGGGAGGGACGGACGGAAAGGATGGAGGAAGGCAGGGAAGGGAGGGACCGGGGCATCGGGGGTTTCGGCACCGCAAGCCCGAGGCGAGAGGGGGGCGGTGCCGCAGCCCGCTGCGGAGGGCGGTGAGGAGGCGGCCTGAGAGCTCCGGAGACCGGCGAGACCGCGGCGACCCCTTCTCTCTGAGTACATCCTTCGCCTTCAGGGGATCCTCCTCCCTGAGGGAACCCTCCTCTTTGAGGGAAGTCTCCCCGACAGAACCCTCTTTCCTGAGACAGCCTTTCTCCCCGAGGAGACCCTTCTCCCTGAGGGGACCAATCCTCTCTGAGGAGACCCTCCTCCGTGAAGGAACCCTCCTTCCTGAGGTGTTTCTTCTTGTCCCTGGGGAGACCCTTTCTCCTAAAGAGACCCTTTTCTCTGAGAGGACCCTTCTCCTCGAGAGGACCCTCCTTTTTGAGGGAACGCTCCTCTCTAAGGAGACCCTCCTCCCTGAAAGACCCTTCTCCCTGGGGGAATCCTCCTCCTGAGGGGACCCTTTGCCCTGAGGGGACCCTCCTTTTTGAACTGATCCTTCTCTTTGAGGGGACCCTGCAGAGACCCTCCTTTTTGAGGGAACTCTGCTCCCTTAGAAGACCCTTTTCCCTGAGGAGACCCTTCTCCCTGAGCTGCCCTGGCCCTAAAACATTTTTCAAAAATAAAAGTAAAAATTCAGAGCTGTAGCCGGGGCAGAGTGACCACCTCCAGCAGCCCCTGTCAGAGCTGAGGTGCCAGAGTGGCCTGTGCTGAAGCGTTTTAAAAACCATCCCAAAAATTATGCCCGGAAAATTTGTGGCAGAAGGTGCTGCCGGCCCTGATCTGTGCTGGAAACAGCTCTTGGCTTTTGGGAAGGAAAAGGCTGTGTGTAATGTACACATACACACACACACAAACATACACACACACTTTCAGTTTCAGGGTAAACAGTCAGAGTCTGGTGAATTTCAATGGCAATGGGGAGTGGAGGAAAAACACAACAATTTCTCAATGAATGGGTTAAACTTCTAACTCCTGACTGGCAAAATCAGCCCGGTCTGAGGCTGAGGGGTAAAAAGGCTGTACAAGGGCCAAGGGACTAATGCAAGGTCACAGGTACTGTGCTTAGAGATGAGCCCTGCACTTCAATCAGACATGCGAATACCTGTGAGAAAAATTAAAACTTCAGTGGTCGCAAAACTGGTCCCAGAATTCACTTTTTTTTCAGGTTAACAATTTTCTATCTCACTTACATTTCTCAGCAGCATTCTCCTTGTACTTTCAGCCACAGGGTTTGGCTCCTGTAACATACCAAGGCCTTTGCCTTCATAGCAGTGACACCTCAATCAACTGTGCTTTGTCTGACTCCAGTTGGTTTCCTTGCAGCCCAAGCTCAGTGTGAAGACTTCTCCTCCTTCCAGCCAGGGGGAAGATGTGCAGATTCCCACGAAGCTGATGCTGTGTGAGTTTCTGCAACCAAATGGAACAGGTTATCAGCTTTGGAATATAACTTTTAATTATAGTCTGATCAGTGTGCTTTCAATAGAAATCTTCTATGTTTCATTTATATGTGCAAAAGAAGGAAAATTAAAAAAAAATGTGTTGTCCATAGAAGGTATTAATGCTCCATTCCTGGAAGTTTTCAAGGCCAGGTTGGACAGGGCTTGGAGCAACCTGGTCTAGTGGAAGGTGACCCTGCCTATGGCAGGGGATTTGAACAAGATGAGCTTTAAGGTCCCTCCCAACCAAAACCATTCTCTGATTCTATCTGTACTAACCATGGCAAAGCTCCCACTGTTCTGTTCTTTTGCACGAATGAGTAAAAATATTGATAAAGATAAATTCCAAAAATACCCGTTTTATTTGTTGTTGTTGTTGTTTAATCTTCATGGATGCAAAACTTCGTAAAAACATGTAGAATATTCTTCTTGCTGCCAGATGAGAGTTAGAAACACATTGACCAGAATTCCAAGGTGACCACGTTTGCACGAGTGAATACAGACTTCGATTTGTTACAGTCACCACTAGAGGCACAGGAGTTACCCGGCTTGTATCAGCAGGGTGAGGACATGGCAAGTAAAAGTGAGGGAATTAATGGGATGTTCATGTAATGTGAGCACACTGGGCTAGTGGAAGGTGTCCTTGCCCATGGCAGGGACGAAATTATCATTTTAAGGTCCCTTCCAACCCAAACCATTCTAGGATTCTGTGAAATTCAGTGAAGTTCATCTGGAAACTGCTGGAGACTTAATCGCCCACACGGTGGCATCGCATGTTTAGAAAGTTCTCTGTGGAGCCTGCACTGAGGGCTTCGACACTGCTGAAAGTGTGCTTAGATTCCCACGTTTACAGACAGCATTTGTATAGAAGTAAAAGCTTAAATAAGATATTCGTTTCATCCCTTTCCCATTAACTCTGCAAACATAATATATGACCATGAGGACAAAACTCGGTTATCGGTGAAAGTCCCTCCCTGGGCTACAAAAACAGGTCCTGGGAAAAGTCTGTTGAATGGTTTCTATGAGTTTTAATGAATTTCCACTTGATGCTAAAGAAGAAAAATGAAACATACAGTACAAGAAAAACAAAGTTTTCCCATTCAGGTTAACTTTTTTTTCTTTAATTGATTTTTAAAGGATAGTATTTCCATGGACATATTGTTTCACTTAGAATTGTGTGATTTTTTTAATTTATAAGGGTTGTGTTTCATATTGTAGCTCTGTCTGGAGGATCTCTTTCAGTCTGGAAATACAATATTAGAGATTCTGGTCTAACCTACCTTGCCCTAAGACTGACTGACCAGTACCACCTTCACAAACATATGATGATTCATGACCTTTTTCTCCGACTACTGAGCACAGAACCAGCCAAAGGGTACCTGGCCTGCCTTAGCTCCAAGCAGCCAGTTTTGCAAAGATAGGTTCTGCTTTAGCCCCTGTAAACTGTGGGTTTATTTGCCTTGTCTGTCAATCTAAACCGAGTTTCCTGCTGCTACTGGATGGTGTTTTGTCACTGCCCGTAACAGTAGGCTGTAAACTGCAGGGTAACTAAATCTTAAAGCCACAAGGTACTCACACTAAATCAGTCAGATTATGCTCCTGCTGCAGGGGCATTTCCAGGTCACAAATTGACACCCTCTCATCGCCTTTTTGCACCAAGAGTGTATAAAGTCAAGTTAAAACTTGATGCATAAGGGCAACAGTTCACAGCACTCCTGAAATGAGTAGTCACTTCCTCATGTATATTCTCAGATACCCAGCAGAGCGAGTCAAGTGTCTCCAGTCACTTTGTTTCTACCAGTAAGAAAGAGAGAATACACTAAGATGCCTTTTAAGGACATTCAGGAATATACTGGTGTATAAAAAAGAGGAAGAAAACACAAGAGGGTTCTAAAAACAATTGTGGCTGATTTTGTGAATTGCTGATAGACTTGTGTTTGTTTGCAGAGAGAAAAAAACCAAACCCACAAAACCCCAAACTATTTTATTTAAAAGACTGTATACCTTTGACTTGCATAAAAGGAAGAAGTTTGGTTTTGTTGGTTTAATTGCCAAGACTAAAGAAAATCTAAATGAGCTTAGTTCCAAATAATTCTCATATCAGTAAAGTCTCTCATTTCAAGTAAGTCTCCTTCAGTTAAAAGAAATTATTGCAAGGTAACAATGGAATGTAAATGATGAGCTGAGCAGCTGTGTCTTTATATCAAGCACTTCTGTTTTATTCAGATTATCTTTTATTTCCTTTAAAATTATTTTTTTCCTATCTTGAGTTAAAAGAGAGAAATTTTGCTGCTCCTCAGTTTTGCAAATGTATGTTAAGGTTATTACCCTCTCTGTCAGTGATGCAGAGAATCATTCTGATTCACCTTTGCACTGTGTTCTTATTGAAGGCCTGCTGAGAAAGGGACCCTGCTGTGCCAAAGACTGTGCAGACAGAGAGACAGAGGATTTCTGTTCCCAAGAGCTTATAATTAGCTACATTCACACATACATTGAGCAGAACACCAGTCCTCTCAGCCACAGACATCAGAGAACTCCAAAAAATGGTGAGACCACATCAGTGGCATTTTTCAGCAGGGTATTTTGGGAACATATTCACCTTTTGGGAAGGGGAGGTTGGGACTATACTTCAAAATAAGCCATTAGGTTTCAACAGTCTCTTGCAGGTTGTAGTCTAGATAAGGACTAGTGTAAATCACATGGAGGAAACACATTTGATACTTTTAACTTCCCAGCTATTACTCAGTATTTCATTTACATTATATTGCAGAACTCTGGCCCTTGCAAAAGAGGTCAAACTTGACCTTTTGAAAACAGGGCAGTTAAATTACAGAAGACCTTTGTGCGTGTTTTAGGGTCTAGTGAACACAAAAGTCATTGCCCCTCTTTTTAAGGCCATTTAGGCTCCATGTTTCCTGTTTTGATGTAGATGATGTATTTTTACAAGCCATCTGCAGTCACAGTACGTGAAGTCCTGCAAAAATCTTGATATTTGATGAAATTAGTTGCAGGCCCAGCCCACTGATCATCTTCTAGTGTGACCTCAGCATAGAATTCTTTTGACTTTAAAAGGTATAGTCCAAACCTTCCCCCTCATGTCCTTTTATATCCGTGTTGTTCAGCTCTGCCTGTAATTGGCTGCTGGGGCAGCTCTACCTTTGCAGCTACTTACCTGATTTGCCTTTGGGGTTCTGTGGGATTACCATATTTGGGGAAAAGAAATGGTCTGACTCTCATAGAACTGTGTTCTTAGGCAGTCACAAAGGAAGTTCTGGGTTTTGCAAGGCTTTGTACTTCCTTTTAGAAAACTCTCTGCCTGCTAGTAACCAATTCCCTTCTATAAAAGGAGAAAGAAACAGTGCAGTGAAGAGATGCATCTGATTATTGGAGGTTGGAATTAAATGACCTTTATGGTCCCCTCCAAACCGTTCTATGAGTCTATGATTATGGGTAGAGATTATAATATGCAGCATCTTAGAAAATGTATTTACAGATTGGATAAAAGCCTCCTGTCATAGCCTATTAACTGAGAGGAAATGTGTTGTTGCCAAGATGCAGCTGCTACATCTACAGCAAAACTGCAATGCCTGACTTTACTAAACTAAATTGTAGCATGTCTGGTGTGCATATAGATCATAAACATTGCTCTGGGCTGTGGACTAGATCCTGGTGACTGGAAGAAGTGTACGACCCATAGTGAGGGAGGAATATGAATCCAAAGCTCTCCTAGACTGCCCTGGCCTTCTCTTCCTTGAAATACTGTAGCATTTTGCGTGGGGGTTGGATCCAGGGATCCTTTCCATCCTCTATGATTCTATGATTAGAGCTGTTACATGGGAAGATGAGGTGGAATTATTACGTGGCTAGATCAAACAGTCAAAAGGTGGGATAATTGATGTGCAAAAATATTATAGGGCTTATGCTTGGAGCATTAATGAAGATATGAGATGTTAACCACACTGACTTCTGGACTCCACAAAACAAAAAATTAAAAACAAGCTGTCTGGAGCGAGGAGAAGAGATACTTTTTTTTCTTCCACTTTGGGACAATTAGGAGGAAGACATGATTCTTTTCTTATGCGGATTTCCTTCATAAAAAACACTGCAAATTACCAGCTAGCCTAGGTACATATATAGTTTAACAATCAAAAATGAGGAACTGGGACTGACTTTGTTCTTACAAGATATTTACATAGGGAAAAAGCTGATTCCAATGTCTTTTCCAAGTCAGCTTTCTTGCAGTTTACTGGATGTAGGAAGTGCTGGGCATCTGAAATATGAGAGGATCTCGTTTGGGTCGGATGTTCACAAGATACAGCACAAGCAGTACAGCTGTTTGTATTGCTGCTCCTGCTGTGCATGCAATTGTCATTGTTCATGCCACTGAGAAATGTGGTTGTGCATCAAACTGGAAGAATATCCATCTACTTCTGACTGAAGGGGATTGACTTGGTACAGAGAATTTGGGCTGCACAGCTGAAGTCCTCTCCACCCCTGCAGGTTGTGTGCCCCAGGTTTGTGCTGCTCTGTACCTGTCAAAACAGAGAGAGAGTTCCTGGTGCATCCCATGATAACTGGATGACATTTGGGGATGTTTATGTTGGCCATTTTAACACACTTTTGATATAGTTTGATATACAGTTCTTATAAATCATTTCATAACAAGACCTGTGGCCCAGGTTGGTGTTAGGAGATCTTTCACTTCAAGGAACCATCTGCTATAATCTTCATACAAACTAGAACTAATTTAACAAGGTAAATTATCCTTGTCAAGGGAGCCTTCTCCATAAAATATGCAACCTGTGATACTCAGAAACTCTACACAACCACTTCTGTTTATTTTCTGCTTAGCCCAGGCCTAGTTTGAATTAAACAGGCCAGATTACTCACTGCATTACCTAACCCTCTGTATTGTTTGTAAAGGCTTGCAATCTGTGTTTAGTGAAAACTGCAGAGGAGTAGAGCAAGTCTGTAACTGAATAAAGGAGTCAAATGGTAGAATTCTGTCTCTCACTGAACATCAACAGTCCTCGGGTTTGTTTCTTTTTTTGTTTGATTGGTTGGTTCGGTTTAATTTTTTCGGGGGGTTGTTTTTTTGTTGGCTTTGTTTTTTTGGTTTTGGGGTTGTTTTTTTTAAGGTTGCTTTCCATGGAGGAATTTTAGAATTTGCTCAGAGCATTTGTTCTAATAAGGAAGTTTTCCATAGAGTCTGATGATGCATAACTGGAGCTGTTTCTATATATAGTGCTGCAGGATGGAAAGCAGAGGATCCTTTTGCTGTGGATGGAAACAGAAGGTCTCATTTCCTCAGAGAACAGCCTGCATTTCAGTTATTTCAATTGTAATGTGGGCAACACTACACACAGTAGCACTGTGGCCCAGTTTTTTTGAGCTGGATGTGAACATAGATCACCTCACAGTGTGCTATCACAGCTGTGTCCTTGTGCTCAGACTATTTGGTCTATCAACCCAAACCCCTGGAAGTGTTAACGCCAGCAGAGACAATAGGGTGGAAATACAGTGAAAAAAATCAAACCATTTTAGAGCACCGTGTCTGGCAAACAAAAACAGGGTTTGAGTGGGAGATGGGAAAGTCTTGGTAACATTCCTGAGCTCATTTTCTCCCTTGTTCAACTCTTTAACTCATGTAGACTCTTTCTCTTCTTCCAAACAGTGAGAGAGAACCTTTTAGAACATCTTAGATTTGTAGTTACTAGTGAAGGAAGACTTTTTCAGCAGGGCAGCTGTGTTTCTTGGCAGTGTCAAATATTTACACCCACCATGTAACAAGAAACCAGTGTTTTGTCCTCTGTTGTATGGAAAACTCTTAGCTTTTGAAAATAAGCAATAGAAACATGATCATGGCCCGTGTGATTTTAAGAGCCATTAAGTAAACTAATAAATTTCTTACAATTTCAGGTGTTTGTGCAAGTAACATTGCACTGGTTTAATTTTTATATGCAGCTCCTTTTCCCATCACCTGGGCTGGATTTTATCTATTCTCTTTTTGTGTTGTACAGTTTATTTTCCACCATAGCTCATCTTTTTGACTGCTTCCCATATTCCTGTCCAGGTGTGGAGTGTGTCTATCAGAGTCCAAATTCTTTGGCTTACCTGGAGTAAACAAGTGCCCACAACAGGGTGGTTATTGCCCAAAGCAATACTTCCCAAACCAGTGCAGATTGTGGGAGCATCCAGTTGTTGCTGCCTGCTCAGTGCTGGGATCTCTGCTCCAGAAGTATCTGGGAAAAGGTGAGACACTGGATTAAAGTGTGAAGGAGGAAGCTGTTCCTGCCTCATGCCTTTCCCAGGGGGGTATATATATATGCATATATATCATATATAGTGTGCAGTCGTGTCCCTGTACTGCTCAGCATTACCAAATTACTCCAATCAGTTGCAGGGGTTTTTTTATCAAAACTTTGGGCTATAAAAGCCAGGTTCTGGAGCAGCTTCCTCTGTGATCCAGCAGCTTCCTATGTGATCCAGCAGCTTTCTGTGTGATCCAACAGCTTCCCGTGTGATCCAGGTGTGCTGCCTACTAGAGCCATAAGCTGTGGAAGGAAGTTAGGGCGTAAATTGCTTCCATCTCAGTGTTTATCCCATGTGTGGGATAAGTCCAGTATCTTCACAAAACAAGTGTGGCAGATGTGTCTCCCACAGCTGCTCTCCAGAACAAAACACAGGAGCTTTCTCTTTATATTCTGTTTTCAGGTTGTACTTTATCTCATAAGAGTGAAAACATTATTAAGAACAAATAGTCTTAAACTGCAAATCCAACTATTCTCCACAGCACAATGAGCTGTTAAAGGTCAGACTGACTCTTTACAGCTTGGGCCCAATTATGCATTACAAACAAGCAAGAGGAGAACATGCTTTTATCCTGAGTAAGGTACCAGTTAGATCAAGATCATAGCAGAGAGCTGTGACAGCTTTGAAGGGCTGCCTGTAAGTCATCTGCTGCTGGAGGTGACTCAGAGAGTGTGTCCCCAGAGAAGGCTCAAGTTGCAGTTTAAAGCAGTGATTTCCAACACTAAACAGGAGATACGTGACAGATCAGAGTCCAAACCAAGCTCTGCCTTTATACTGGGCTCTGCTGGCTGCTGATGTGGGGAAGGGGAAATTTAGGGTGGTGGGGAGAAGAAGGTGAAGTGATGAAATGCTCTGTGTGATTGGTTGGGAGTGAAAAATGAAAAAAAGCTTTTTTTTTCTTTTTCCCCAAGGTCTGTTCTTGTCTTGCTCTGTGGCCTCAGGCAGGTTAGTTGTACATCTCTCCATACAAATCCTGCAAGAGTGCAGGGTGTAATGCCCCTGATTTTACTCAACTGCTGTAGCAACATGCTTTCTAACAACACAGGGAGGAAAAGTAGCAGCACTGTTGTTACAAGTTCCCCTGAAACCACCTTTTATTCCCATCCTGCAGAAGGACCCCCCCCTCCCTTAGGCACCTCCTTTCAGAGCTGATGTACCTGCCAAGAAGTGGAGTTGCACGGAATAAAACTGATTCCTGTGGCTTGAGGTGCATCAAAAAACCACTTTGCGCTCAAAAGCAGCCACAAATCTGGCAGGAGCGTGAGGCCACCACCAAAACTGGGTGTTACATGATACCTTATTCCACTTGGGAAGAGCTGGCTGTTTCTATGGCTACTGCTGCCTTTCTCTCCAACACACCAACCGTTGGTTCTGATGAGATCATATTGTATTATAGAAAAAAAAAATCACTCACATACTGCTTTACACTGCAGCATTTGTTGAGCTACTCTATATCTGACTTCCTATAATAAAGACATTTTCCATTTAATGTATTCTTATAAATGGGTAGGATTTCCCTCATCTCTGATTTATAAATGCATCCATTTTGGCCTCGAAAATCCTGGTTCTGGTTTCCATGACAACAGGCTTGATTTTGGAGGCTATTTCTTCCCCTCACTTCATCTTGGGTGGGAAGAGTTTCTGTCCCCTTCCAGTAGCAGTGCAATGGGCAAGCAAAATTGTTGCCTTGAAGGAAAATGAGCAGACCTGAAACCAGAAACTTCAGCCAGCTTTTTTAAACACAGGTGAGACATGCATGAGAAGAATGGCACCACAAACCTAGCACAGGCTTGAGTCAGATTTTTTGTGCACAGAAAGTCAAATGGGAAATTTTAGTCGTGTACCCCCCTGTCAGGTATTTAACAAACTCATCTGGTAGCCCTGAACAGCACTGTGTTGGCACATGGCAAAATAACCAGAGGATCTCGCCAGTCTGTTCATATTGTAAATCTGTAGATAAATTAGTACTGAATGCACTTTATTATTCAGAATACACTCTCACTATCTCTATTTTTTTCCCTCAGTACATCCCATCTACAGTACTGGACTGCTGGAACTGTCTCTTTCATAGATTATTCACAGATAAACCATATTCCTTCAATGTGGAACAGTGCATTTGAGACTCTGGGTACTAAAGGCACCATAAATAATCCATAACTGCTTTGCAAGGATCTTTCTAGTGGGTTTTTTCTCTTTTAACATTTCCAGGAAAAATGAAGATAGACAACTGCTGGTACTCCATGGCTGAAGTGGTTTAGTAGTTGCTGTTCTAAAATGATAAAAAGGTGGTTTTTGCACACTCCTCAGAAAATCCCTGGAGAGGGTCTTTGTTCCTTTTTCCTGCAGAGAAGAAACACAACTTACCCACATCCTTCTGGGTAATAAGTACTTTCAAATGTGCCATCCACTAAGGTTGCAGATGAAATGTCTCTCTTTGGCTTGTCATAGAGTCTTTCTCACTTTCTGTGAGTGAAAGATATTATGGAACCACAGTGTCTAAGGTATCATTGCATTATGGCATTATAATCTCATTTGCATTTGAGCTGGGAGCAGCACGATAAAGCTGTTCCTTAAACTGGTACAGGATTGCTCCCAGTGTTTAATCCGAGTGCTGGAGCTCCCAGCCCATGTTTTGGAGCAGAAGATTCAGGTGTAGGTCAGGTATTCTGCATTAAGACAGAAAGGCAAGATTACCTCATTTAGGCATGTTTTATGCATACTGTTGTAACCTGCCAGTAATTTACATTAGAGGCTGGCCTGTGACTCCCAAACAAAGCACAGTCCCCACCTGTGCAGCCTCTGACACATCTCACGGTAGGATGAGATTATCACTGAAAGCCAAGCACAGTCCAGAGTGAATCAATATCAGGCACAACACAAAAGTGATTCAGTGATTGCCTTAAATAACCACAGGTTTTCCCTTCTGTCATGACTAAACCATCCTGCCCTAACAGCCAGTCCCTTGGGGACAATGAAGTCACAGCAGCACAATTTCAGCTGTGCAGCCAACTAGAGACAATATGAGCACCCTTGTCTTCTGTGCCCTACCATGGCATGGAGGGGATTAAAAAGTGAGTCATTTGCTGGAAAAAGTACTGATCCTGTGGCAGTAGGATGAGTCTTAAAAAAAGCTCTTGCATTCTGTAAAGGTTAATTATAAAAGTGGTGAAGCAGGAAGACACAACTGAAAACAGTGAAAGCTATGCAATTGCATCGTGCACTGTTAACTTCTTAGATATCAACATTTCCTTCTCTAAAATGCTCTCACATTTAAAACACTTCAGTGGATTTATAACCCAGGACAATGGAAAAAAAAACCAATTTTTACTTGTTTGGGTTTGTCCTCATTTCGTGTGATATTGTACCACACCAGAGTATTGTGTTAAAATCCTAAATGTTGTTTGTAGTACTGCCTGAAAGTTCCTCCAAATAGTTAATTGATTCCTGCTTTTCATGTAGCCCAGAGCAAGTTTAGAGGAAATAAATGTAACATGAGTTAGTCATCCTTAAATAATCTCAAAGCAGGGAGCCCTACATTAGCAGCAGGCTGATAATAAGCTGTGTAGTGCTATCTCCAGTAAAGCTTTGCCCATGACTTCAAATAAATTTACGAGCTGTCATTTATTTGTTTGTTTGCTTTTTCTCAGCAGGAGAATTTACTGTCTGCTTGCTGAAGTATCAATTATTCTTGTAAAATTGAATAGTACTGTCTTAGGATTATGCACATCGAGGCTAACATAATGTGAGACATGATGAAAATTAATAAGACACCAACTCTGTTAAGACACCTGTGCTAAGTACGTTTTTGGGATAGAGATAAATCTTATGTTAGAGGAACAGCAAAGAGAGGGGTTAAAAAGAACCAGCAGACTTGATCTAGCCCTGTAAGTTTTTGTTTTTGCAGGCTTCTGCTGTCAGACCATCTGCAGCTGCTGTTGGCCAGGCATTGATCTGACCTCTGAGGGACAGAAATCCATTCTGTTCCGGGGCTGATCATTCAAGTCTTTTTATTCTAGTGTTTAAATTGGATTTTATTCAATTTTATTTAAATCCACTATATCAACACTTAATAAACAGAAGCCCTCCCACTCTGCTCTGTGGCATCCCATTGTATACCACCATTTTAGCCTTTTTTGTGTCCTATACATATTCATTTCCCTTAATCTTTCATGCTAATGTGTGTTTCCCTTTCCCATTCTTTTTCTCTGCTCGATTATCATTAAATGCCCGGATGAGACTTAAATGTCAGAAAAGCCCTGAGAAATGCCACAGAAATGCCACATACTGGGGGAGAACACAATAGTTTAGGTTTAAAAAGCCCTGAGCATGGTAATATCTGCTTTCCAGGCTGGGGGGCTGTTCTGGCCACCCCTCAGAAAAAAACAGATCCCTTGAGAGAAATAGATTTCTGTTGCTGATGGTGTTTTGATTTTGAGCTTTGATACAGAAATTGGAGGTTCAGAAATGAATCCTGTCTTCTCTCTAGTTCATCTCTGCCCTGACGTGATAATGGGTCATTGGAACAATCAGCTGGCTTCATTAATTATTAATCCTAACACATGGCAAAAGCAATCTGGAGATTCACTGGATGTGTGGGGGTCTGTTGATGGAAATGTAAAGGGGGCAATTAACAGTCTGAAAAAGCCAAAGAGGAGGGGGAATCAGAAGGCTTAGGTATAGCTGGAAGAATAAGAAAATATTTTATTTTGCAGTCAGATGCATATCTTAAGTTACATTAAAGTGAAAATTCCTACAGCAGGGCATGAAGTTCACATGAGGATTGGGTTACTTGGCTGAACTGTGGTCTATTAAAATATGCATTTAGAGACCTTTACAAGAATTCTGATACTTGCTGAGTGCATAGAAAAAGCTGTAAGCTGTTCACTCTTAGGGAACTGGATACCCAGACAAACAAGAATATAACTCTCATCCATGTATTTTAGTAGCTTTATTGTATATTCACGCTGAGGGGAGAAAACAGAAATCTTGAGTCCATGGAATAAGAGCATAACAGGACTGCTGTGTGAAGGGGACTTTCTATTTACACAACCTGGGCAGCCTAATGGACAATGAGACTTATTGCTACTGTAGAAAGGGAACTGTATGAATTTTGCCCCAAAGGGTCATACAACAGGAGGGTTATTCCTGTGGTCTCTCTCTCTGTTTGCTGCACAGACACTGCACCACAACAGGAGCTCATGCTCTGGGGTTTGAAAATGGCTGTAAAAATCAAGGGCAGAAGGAGCTCTCCATATATTTTCTGTCTTCCTAGAGCAAAAGACTACAAAGATGAGGTTTGTGCACAGTAGCATCTTATTTGAATATCTTAGAGAACAGAAAGAGAGAGTGGTGTGTTCCAAACCCCCGCTCTGATCTGTGTTGCATTGCCAAGTTCTGCTGGTCTCCTGGATGTTGTCTGGATTCAGCTTCCAGGTGAGTTTTCCCTCCCCATGGCTCCAGTGACATCAGAGCCACCTGTGACAGCTCCAGATAAGCCATCCCAGTTTTTTCAGCACCAGCCAACCCCAGTGGCAGTGGAAGGCAAGCCTGGAAAGGTGAACAACCACCCCTCAGCCCAAATTGCTGAGGAGGGTTGGCAAACCACGAAGGGCTTTCTCTTGCTTAGGCTGCCACAGCTCGTGCAATGCCACAGATTAATGGAGCTCCAGACTGTCTAATGGAGTTTTTCCCACAGAGCAAAATATTAACCAAGTCAATTGATTGCATTTTCATTTCTTAAGGGAGGTGCAGCCCACACATCCCATTGTGTCTGAGCACAAAGACAGTCTGCTGAAGCAACCCTGTGCTATCTCACGGGTGCTTTGTGCTGCATCTTGCTTCTGATGTAAAAGGAAATGGAAATTCTTG